CATCTCTTTAAATTTTCTCCCTCTTTCCTTTAACCTATGTTCCCTGGTATTTGGCATTTCCATCCCTGGGAAAGAGATCTGACTATCTATCTTATTAATGCCTCTCATCATTTTATGTACTTCTATCAGGTTGCCCCTCAGCCTCCAATGCTCTAGTGAAAACAATCCAAGTTTGTCCAACCTCTCCTCACAGCTGATACACTCCAAACCATGCAACTTCCTGGTAAACCTCTTCTGCACCCTCTCCAAAGCCTCCACATCCTTCTTACGATGCAGTGACCAGAACAAGTAATAGCACTCCAAATGTGGCCTGACCGTAGTCTTACACATTTGCAGCATGACTTGCCAAACTTTATATTCAGTGCCCTGATCGATGAAGGCCAGCAAACCATACAATTTCTTTACCACCTTCTCTACTTGTGTTGCCACTTTCAGGCAGCACTGTATGTGACCCAAAGATCCCTCTGTATATCAATGCTCCTACAGGTCCAACCATTTACAGTGTATTTTCCTCTTGTATTTGACCTCTCAAAATACATTAACTCACACATTTGGGGCAGCACAGTGGCTCAGTGGTTAGCACTGCTGCCTCACAGCACCAGGGACCCAGGTCCAATTCCACCCTCAGCCAACTGTCTATGTGGAGTTTGCACATTCTCCCTGTGTCTGCGTGGCATTCCTCTGGGTGCTCCGGTTTCTTCCCACAGTCCAAAGATGTGCAGGCTAGATAGATTGGCCATACTAAATTGCCCATAGTGCTCAGGGATGTGTAGAGTAGGTGGGTTATAGGAGGATGTGTTTGGGTGGGTGCTCTGAGGGTCGGTGTGGACTTGTTGGGCCGAAGGGCCTGTTTCCACGTAGGGATTCTATTATTCAAGCTTCTATGATTCTAACATGTCCTGTTTAAACTCCATCTACCATTCTCCACTCAACTTTCCAACTGAGCTGTATCCTTCTTCAAGATGTACAACTCCACCAATTTTCATGTTGTCTGCAAAATAACTAATCAGACCACCTACATTTTCATCCAAATCATTTGTATCCTTTATTCATTCATGGGATGACAGCGTCGTAAACAATATAAACAACAAGGTACCAGCACTGATCCTTGCAAAACACCACTGGTCTCAGGCCTCCAGTCGTAAAAACAACACCCCTCTGTCTTCTATGGCCAAGCCAATTTTGTATCCAACTTGCCAATTCACCATGGATTCCATGCAATTTAATCTTCTCGTCAAGCCTACTATGAGGGATCTTGTCAAATGCTTTAGTAAAGCCCATGCAGACATATCGACTGCCCTACCATTATCAATCATCTTCTTCACTTCTTCAAAAAACTCAATCAAGTTTATGAGACAAGACTTCCCCTGCATTAAGCCATGCTGACGATTCATAATAAGTCTATTTTTCTCCAAAGATGAATTAACAAGGGAGTCCAGAGTTAAAATGGAGAGACATGAAAGTAAAAGTGATGTCACAATCAGATCAGCCATGATCCTATTAAATGGTGAAGCAGGCTTGAGGGGCTGAATGGCTCATTCCTAATTCATACGTAAACAAAACTGGCTGCCTTTGAAAGCAGACGAGGGATTCGAAGCATACACTGAGTAAATCTATATCCCAATATTGAATTAAGAATAGTCTCTGATTTCATCAAACATTTGTGACATATGGCTGAACTGAATTGGCTATTCATCTGTCAATGCAGCCTAGCTATCAGGTTGAGCAGTGGGCTCCTACTAAACAATGAAGAAGAGGACAACCTAGAATGAAGTGGTGCCAAACTCTCAGTAAAATGTCTGCAGCTGATCCACAGACACTGTAGCAAAGTGAATACAGCAGACTGTTATCAAGAGAATAGAGAGTGCATTGTCTGCCTCTTGCATCTCTAGACCTGGGAACTACTGAGTCTGACTCCATCCTTGTGAAAGGTGGAGGGGTGGGTCTGAATTTACAGAGATCTGGCACAAATGCGATAGGCTGAATGTCCTCCTCAGTATTTGAAACCACGCTAAGAGTCTATGGTAAGCTCTCAATAAGCTTTTACTTAACCTGTCAGGAGATCATGAGAGCTGCCTGCAAAACTCTAAGGTTACAACTATAGATGATTACAAATTGCAGGTCAGCACTAATTGTGAATCCTTTAATTTAAAATTGTTTTTAATCAACCAGTTTAGAAATATAATAACACATCTCCGGAGCAGATGGGACTTGAACCAAGATATTCTGACCAGAGAGAGTGACACACTACTACCAACCATAAGAGCTCCCTCTTGGTTTTAAGGTCAGGTACAACCTTCTTGCCCGAAACCTAAAAGCGATTTCAATGATCCAGATATCTGAATCATTCCCTCCTGCACCAGCTGCTTAATCACACCTTCAACTAAATTGTCTTCTTATTTCTCACCTCACTATTACAAGGCACAGGGTGTAATCCTGACTTTATAACCCTAGAGGTTCTGTTTTTCAAATTCCTACCTAACTCCCTAATTTCCCTTTGCAGGACCTCACCTCTCTTTCTGCCTATGTCATTAGCACCACAAAATGGACCATAACCTTTTGCTGCTCACGCTCTCCCTCTTGTGCCCGCTCAAAAAGAGGCAATACTTCGTCCTGGAGTCTGACCCATAGCCACAGAAACACCTATCTGTGTCCCTGAATATAAAGTCTCCTACTGCCTACACTTTAACCCTCCCTGCTGTACACAGAGCTAATTGTGGTATCACTGACCTGGCTGCTTTTCCTGTTTTGCCTGAGAGGCCATCCCCCAACAGTACCAAAAATGGTATCTTCTTATGAGAAAGGGTATGGCCACAGGGGACTCCTGCACTACCTGCCCACACTTATTAGTCTTCCTGGTGCTCACCCAACTCTTTTCCTGCCCTTTTCTCAGAGTGGGGAGGTGTAGAATCGTTATCCCTTGCTCTGTTAGTCTGACATACATGATGCCGAGCTGCTTGCCATTGAGCTTTGGTTAAATGGACTGAAATCCACCTCAGCACCCTTGGGAGATCAAGGAGATTTTGTCAGGCATGGCATTCCTAGTCACTACACTGGTTCAGAGAGTGGCATGAATCTCAAAGAATGATTCTGCACAGGAAATGACTGTTCATCCCATTGAGCCTCTAGCTCTTTGAAAGATAAATGTAATAAAATCCACTCCTCATCCTCAGCCTCTTCTCTCTCCCCAGCAAATATTCATCCAACTCCCAATTTATAAGTCACTATTGCATTTATTTCCCTTTCTGGCACTGCATTCCAGATCTCAAAATCTCACTGTGTGAAGTCAGTTTCTCTTCATCCCTCCCTCCCACAGACCTTTTGGCAATTGTTTGTAATTTGTGTCCTTTAGGTTCCAGAGCCTCCTGCCAATAACATTTTGGCAAGCGCTTAAATCTGTTTTTTCCTTTTTCCAAGAACAATGTACTTCCCCTGTGTGTATGGGTTTCATGGCTTTACTCAAAAAGGAAGACTGTGCCTCAAACGGATGGATGGAAAGAGAGCTCAGGGTTCATGCTGTAGGGCAAGCATGGGGAGTAGCTGGCAGTCTGTAACCCCCTGAGTATGATTTGTTTTCCAGTGATGTTCACTGTGGCTGAATATTCAACAAGCACTCTCACTGTGCAGGCTTGAGAAGCACTTGGGTATGGTAGTGTGTGCCAATTAGGCTTGACTCCAGCTGGTGTTAGGAGGTTGGGGGAAGTGGGTACATGAAAGATTGATGTTAAAAACCTAATTTATCAGTTTGGCAACTTCTGAGCCAAATTCCTGAGTGGTTTCCCCTGACACAGAGCCTTTCTCATGGCCATACACATGGAATCAAATGGGCTGTCCCTGAGCTCTCCATCATCAAGTAAGAAGCTAGAGGGTCATAGAGTCATTTAACACAGAAAAGGCCCGTTAGTCCATTGAGTCTGCACCAACCTATCTACACTAATCCACCAACTCTCATCAACTTTTATTGATGCACCGTAGAAAGCATTCTATCTAGATTCATCATGGCTTGATATAGTTCTGCCCGGAAGAAACTATAGAGAGTTGTGAGCACAGCCCAGTCCATCACACAAGCCAACCTTCCATCCACTGACTCCATCTACACCTCTTGCTGCCTCGAAAAGGCAGCCAACATCATCAAAGATCCCTCCCATCTGGTTATAATCTCTTCCAACCTCTTCTATCAGGAAGAAGATACAAAAGCTTAAACACACGTACTGACAGGTTCAAAACCAGCTTCTTCCTGCTATTAGACCTTTGAATGGATCTCTCAACTTTCAAATCTAATGCTGATCTTGCTTTTTGTACAGATTCCTGGTGATCGTAACTTTGTATTCTGTGAAAGTTCTGTGGAAAGGTTAACTCTGATTTCTCTCCATAGATGCTGCCAGACCTGCTAAGCTTTTCCAGCAATTTCTGTCTTTGTTTCTGATTTACAGCATCTGCAGTTCTTTCAGTTTTTATTTTGTATTCATCGCTATGTTCTATTGTCCTATGATCTTTGTACAGTATGATCTGCCTGCACTGCGTGCAAAACAAAACTTTTCACTGTACCTAGGTACTTGTGACAATGATAAAGCAAATCAAATCAAAAACTTAATCCCACTTTTCAGCATTTCGCCCACAGCCTTGAATGTTGTGACATTTCAAATGTTCATCCAAATACTTTTTAAAGATTATGAGGTTGCCTCTACTGCTCTTTCAGGAAGTGTATTCCAGACTCCTACCACCCTCTGGATGAACATGCTTTTCCTCAAATCCCCACTAACCCTCAGTGGGTGATTACTACATGGTAATGGGCGTGCAGCCTTTTGCACTGAAGTGAATGGTGAAGGCAGGTGGTTTGGAATATTTTTTGACCAGATTTAACATCTGCACCCCCATCTCCCACACCCAAGCCTCCACATTCCTCCAAATTAAAACCTTCACAACCCTTCTGTCATTGCCCCCTTTCCAGTGCACCATCATCCCCTCCCGTGGTGTCTCTTTGAAATGTGGACACGTACCTGAGTTCTTGACTTTCATCTTGATTTCTTCCTGATGATCTCCAGCGTCTTTCACCATCTCACTTGTGACAGGAATTGATGATCCTCCACAACAGGAGAAAAGTTGTTAAAGGAGATGTAAATTACACTCAGCAGCCTGCACACTCTCTTGGCACTGTCACCATCACAGCGTTAACATCACATCATCATTGTCAACATCATAGCGTTACTGTCGCTCTGTCACTGTCACCATCACAGCGTTAACATCACAT